ACAGCACGATGGCGCTGCTGGGCTATGCGTCCGTGACCGAAGCCGAGTACGACAACATCCCGCTTAGACGATATTGACCATTTTTGGTGTAGAAAACACACGTTTGGCGTCGTGCCGTTCGACCCCAAGCCCCATAAAGACACCGAGACGTACGTCGTGAGTGTCTACTGGCTTGGATGCGCCATGCTACCAACGTCCCTCGCGTGGCTACGCCCGTACGTGGCTGGTGTCGTCGTCGAGAACCACTTCAAAGTCGAGCGACAATCGCCGACACAAGAGACCCTCGACCGCAATCGCGTGTACCGCTACACCCGCGGCAACTGCGTCACATGACAACACACATATATATACATATTTTGCACAATATTGTCATCTACTCATATATGTCAAGCGTCACGCAAGCATGCGCGGTCGCGCGTCAAGGACGCCACCGGCATCGCATCTCTTGTTGCCATTTTTCGCTGTGTACGTTGCCCAAGAAGACCCTGCGTCGACAGAGCACTGCCGACTAGGGGCGAACGACCTCTATCAACGACAGCGTACCATCGCTCAACAGAGGCGTCAATACGCGGGGCTCCATTCGACTGCTGCACGGTACACGTCCAGGAACGACGATTCCTGCCCGACTCGAACGACGGAAGGGCCATTTTGGTCGGCCAGCATTAAGTTACAGTTGAATCACTTTTTGAGCAGCGGCGTCACGAATCGAAAAGGCACCTTGCGCTCGGGGCAGTAGCCGACCTCGTCAGCGTCGTCATCAAAGCACACGACCACGTACAACGAGCCCTAGCGCAGCATGAAAAAGTGCATTCGATACAACTGTTGGACTATACCGGCGGGTTGGGGATGACGACGACAGCAGGATAAAAACTCGTTGTGTTTGGGTACATGGCGAGGACCTTCTGGTTCCACTTGAACGAGATCCAGTCGTGGACCTCTTCTTCGCGCGGAAGTGGAATCATCCAGTCACGGGGCACGAGATGATGGCGCTTGCCCTCCGTGTCTTCGTCGCCCGAGTCTTCGTCCTCGACTTCGTACAGCCGGGTCTTTACGTCTTGCCGCACGACCGAGGCCAGGATCCATAGCTCGTGGCTGCGCGCGACGCGGGCCGCGACCTGCGCACCAATGGCAATGTCGGCGATCTTTGGCACCTCGGCGTCGTCCTTGGCCTTGGGCGACGCCGCCGCCTTCCCGCTCTCAAAGCACCCGGCCTTTTGATCCAGCTCGACAATGTTGATGGCCGCGCCCAGCTGACGGTGCTGGAACTCAAGCTCGGTGACGCCTTTGGTGAGCAGCTCGCGCAGCTTGACCGCGTAGCGTCGCCGGCCCGAGAGGTCGCCGGCGCGCTCCTTCTTCTCGATCTTGGCGTAGATGCGCCGCAGCTGCCGCGCGAGACTGTCCATCGGGTTGTCGAGGAGCTGCGTCCGAAGGATCTCATGCACCGCTTCTTCCGTTGCTGCCATGCTGCCACCGACCTGCGAAATCCTAATTATACGCCAATTCGGATATGTCCGAATCTAGTTGTAGTCGGTTCATTCAGTCATTCAACTGAAGAAAAGGTACTAAACGACTAAACTCGATAAAACACATCCCAAATTAAGGTGAACCGACCACTCGCCCTCTCGCGCGAGCGCCTCGAGCACAAGTCTATACTACCTTGTACATCTCTGTGTATGTATGTATATGTACAGAATTGCTGTGCTAACTTGGTCGAATACGAGTTCTGGCGCCTCTCCCGCCTTCTTCAGTTGCGCCATAGGTTCTTGTAACGAGGGTTGCTTTTTCGTGCGTCTTCTATCGAGGCATGTTGCACCCGCAAGTCGACGATTGAGGTTGGACCGGCATCATGCTGCCCAGCGTCGTCCGACGTCTCTACGCCGTCGTGGCCGCCTTCCTGCTGCTAACCGCGCACGGCCATCGGTCCCTTGGTGACAGGATACCACTTCGCCCATACTCCTCGTGCCGCATCATCGTCGACGCCGGCTCGTCGGGCACCCGCTTCTTTGTCTTCCCGTCACCGAGCGTGCCAACCGCCGATAACTTTGCGCACCTCACGCCCGGCCTGAGCGAGATCGCGCCGCTGCAAGCGTATGCGTACATGCGCCCAGCGCTCTACGAGGTACGCAACGGCCTCTGCGCCCGGCGAAAGGTCATGTATCGGCGACTAGGTCCAAGCGTCGCTCTCGCCCGAGATGCGCGCCCGGTGCTTTGTGCATATCTACGGCACGGCCGGCATGCGCGCATTGGATGCATCGCAGCAAGCCGAGCTCTACAACCAGTTGTACCTCGATCTCAAGAACGACGCGACCATGACGCTACCATTAGGTAGCGTCGCTGTCGCCGATAAATCGTCATGCAGCTCTGCGTAGAGCGCGCGCATGTGCGCACCATCTCGGGCGACGAGGAAGCGTTCTTCTTGGCCATGGCGGCCAACTTTCTCGATGCGCGAGTCGAGAGCGACCTCGCGCCCAGCAACGTCGATCTCTTTGGCGCCCTCGATCTCGTACCTTCGAGTGATGACAATTTGTCCAAACTATGCATCCTTTCTGTTGATATAGGGCGGCGGCAGCACGCAAATCGTCTTTGACATCAAGGAGCGCTGGCGCCAGAACGCGCGGCGCAAGGCCATGCCGCATCAAAAGACGCTCAACGTCAGCGAGTTCTTCGTGCAGTCGTTTGCTGGCTATGGCGCCGCACACATGCACGATCAAGTACTTTGTTTGTAGTACTCGTGTCGTGTCTTATTGGCAACGTAGGTGCTGCAAGCGATCGCCGCCAACGCCTCGAGCGACTCGGTGCATTCGAATGCGACCAACGCGACGGCCTCGGTTGAGCTCTTGACCAACCCGTGCTACTTTACCGGCTACAGTGGCGCCAACCAGACGGGCACCGGCCACGCCGCCGAGTGCCTGCGTCTCCTACAATCGCTCGTGGCACAAGAGAACGCCAACTGTCCCAGTGGATCGTTTTGCGCTCTCCAGTCGGTGGTACGCTGCTTCGCCTTTTGCGATAGTCCAGGTGGAACAAATGTACTTCTAGCCGCAGCCGCCTGTGACAGGCGCCTTCTACGCCGTGAGCGTCTACTACCTCGCGACCGTCTTTGCTCGCGATGTTGTGAGTCGCATGGCGCCAACGCTGAGCTACGGCTGGCCGGCGCCGTCCCTCGAGGAGATGGAATCGGTACGGACGTTTGTGTGTCGTATCTAGGGACTGCAACATGCGTGTACGTAGGCGACTCATTTAGTGTGCAGTATGCGCTTTGACGAGCTTGCTGCGTTGGAACTGGAGCATACCCCCGCGGAGATGCTACCCCGGCGCTGTCTCGACCTTTGCTACGTCACGACGCTGTTACGTGCTTACGGCTTTGGTCTCGCAGAGCGCCGGGTCGTGTTTGTCGACCGCATACGAGGTACATGGGAGTGCAACGACAAGTGGACTGGACACTGGAGTAGGCTCGCCATTGGTGTGGGCGACGGGGGCGTACTTGATGGACCACGCGCTGGCCTCGACGGCCTACGCCGACGCGCTTGTGAGCTATCTCTCGCGCCAAGTCGAAGTGGGGCTTCCGGTTGGGTGGCATGTCGCACTCCTCATGCTGACAATGGCTGTGGTCGCGCTCTTTTTCACGGTACACCGCGCGACGGGCCGGCACGGGTCGACCCAAGCCATCGAGTTTGTTGGGGACCCACGTAAATAGACAGCAGGCTGTGGTAAAGATTGTATAGACACGTACAAGCACCAAGTACTCTTTAAAGCCTAACGGTCATTAGACAATGCGTGCGACTAGTGCTTATAGTAAAACAAAGCAACGTTTGTCACGTGACCTTTGACCAAATCGTCAAGGTGGGATGCTTCGAGAGCAGCGAGCTGTTTGTCGTGAGAGAGGTAGGGCTTGGGTAGGGTTAGGGTAAAGAACCACCATCAAAGCATACGCTTAGATCTGCTCGCAGATATTACTTGTATCAACGTGAGTCTATAGCATGACGCAGCACTGATAATGCGACTCGAAATGTGCATTGTTCCCTCTCGTACCTATTGAAGAGTATGGAGCCGAGGACTTTAATACTTATATTCAATATAAGGTCCGTGAAGGAGCGACTGAGTTGTCTCGTCGACCGGTTCGACAAGGTCCGCTGGCCTGTCCATCGAATGTACTTGTGATGCCAGCAAGGAAATACTATAATATTACATGCCGTGGACGCTCCGCTCACTATACAATAGTTAGAATGCACGATTACATTATCGAGGCGCTGTTTTAAATGAAGAGAATACCTAGCCCGTAATGACGCGGACGCCGCAGCACGACACTTGATGGACCGTCGTGTTGGTCGGCTGCTTGATGAACATCATGTTGGTCGGCATGTGCCAATACGTACTAAGCCACTCGATCGTTGCGGGTTCAAATGGACCTTTGACCGAGACAAAGTCCGTTCTGCGGTCATATAAGCAAAAGTGGAGAAAATGAGGTTGAGGGCATACCGTAGCTTGGGATAGATCCTATCAAAGAGAGCAACAACGTCAGCGAGCGCTTGAATTGTGTCGGCGGAGGCCATGGTGACTTCGGGGTAGACGTGCACGAACCGGAGCGTCTCGGTCATTTCGTTGGTTCGAACATACAGAATGACCTTGTTGACCAGCGTGAGATCCGGTGCCTTGATGAAAAACACAAATGGTTGCGACTTGATGGCCTTGAGCGTTCGTACAAGGTACGAGACACGCTGGTTCTCGCGTTCGAAGAAGCGGGGATCGTGTGAGACAACCACTGTCTCGTACGGCTCATCGGTCGAGAGCAATGGCGGCGACTGCAGCTCGACGTCGTCCGTGAGCATAGCTATCTGCGTCGACTCGGGCGATTCGTAATCCTTGTTTACGTCTGGAACGCCCGGCAGCAAGTTGATGATAAAGATGAGGCAGCGCAAGATCGTGACGCGCCAGAGCATGCCAAAGACGACGACCGCGACGCCGAGCGCGTAGTAGAAGAAGTAGGCAAGCACGGACGGGTCGCCGAGGACGATGCCAAAGTACCCGATCGCAATCAGCGTCGCGCCCGAGATGCACGCCCACCACGGCGCGTGGACGTCGCGCGGAATGTCTTGGCGCTTGATCTTGAGCATCATGCAGCCCATCGCAAAGAGGAACATCATGGACAAGAACGAGTAGGTGTAGACGCCACCGAGGATGACGTTGTCGCCGTTCAAGAGCAAGACGAGCGACGACGTGAGGAGGAAGAAGGCGAGGATGATCCAGTGGTTGGTGCCGCGCCACTTGTTCTCAGCCGCAAAGAACGCCGGCATGACGCGGTCGGACGCGAGACGGCGGTGGAGACCCGTGATACCAACGTACGACGTCAGCACCGCACCCGACAAGACGACAAACGCATCGATGCACACGATCCAGACGAGCCAGTTGCCAGCCGTGATCTCGGCCAAGTTGGCCAGCACCGTGTTGGCGCTGGCCTGCAGCTCGGCGACGGGCATGACACCGAGAGCGAGGATCGCGAGCGAGATGTTGTACACGGCCGAGAACGCCCACATGTTGCGCATCGTCTTGCGGAAGACGCCGGGCTGCTGCTGCTCGACAAAGTTGGCCGACGATTCGAACCCCGTCACGCCCAGCATCGACGCCGAAAAGCCAAAGAAAATGGCCGTAAACACGTTGCCGTCAATCACCGACCCGACAAAGTCGACGTGCGGGTAGCCCGAGTGCATGTTGGCCTGGATGATCTCGGGGTTCTGGATCGTGTGGATGAGGCACGTGACCGCAAGCACCGAGAGCGTCCCAATGTGAAAGGTAAACATCACAAAGGCCACGACCGCCGACTCGGCGATGCCGATGAAGACCAAGATCGCAAACACGCCCATCAGGCCCACGGTGGTCCCGACGACCGGCAGATCCGGCACCACAAACTGCATGTAGTAGCACGCCGACGTCCCAGACACAACTGCCGTCGCCGTGTACGCGAGCGTACTCAGCACAGCGGCCACCGCTGCGACGCGCTTGGAGGTCGTGTTCAAAAGGCAGTTGTACGACCCGCCGTTCATGGGAATCGCCGTCACGACTTCTTCGTAGATGAAGCGGTACATGAAGAGCACGACCGACACCATGGCCATGCAGATCGGCGCCAATTTGCCGGCCTTGAGCGCGACGATACCAGACGAGTAGAGGACACTGGACATGATGTCGTTGCCGCAGATCGCTGTCGAGGGCCACTCGCCGAGGAGGTGCTTGGGGCCGTTGTGTCGTTCCCGCAGCGCGACGAGCTGAATGAGCGGTGGCGCCAAGTTCTCATGCTTGCCTTGGCCCGCCGGGTAAATGAACGAAGGAGCTTTGGTGTCGTTGGTAGCTGGCACAGTCACTGTGAGCGTACGTTGTCGAGATGCGGCGACGGCCACCATGGTGAAGCAAAAGTGGGCGATGTCGATACAAACCGTTGTGAACGAAGGTCTCCAACATGTGTTTCCTTGATGCAAGTATACCACTGGAGCCATGACCGAATGCGATTGATGGGAAGGAAGGGACGGCGTTCGCTGTCCACACATGTGCAACTCTTTGGGACGAGCCAATGCATGAGGTCGATACGCTCATGTCCAGGGTAGGCCACCACCAATAGTGTGGGTTTGGGGATGTGGCGCCACGTTCGAAGTTGAAGGCAAGTGCAAGGGGCATCGTCCAACTTTGTCGAAAAGTCGGCAACCAAGTACTCAGCCAAGCGCGTTTCGCACGACACTCCGGGTATCTTTTTATGGGCATTTTCTGAGCCTTCCTCTCGTGCTAACGATAAAGTCGCGCTCGCGCAAATAGGCGGCGGTCCCTGGCTCCAAATGTGGGTCGGACGTGCTCTCGGGTGCGGTCTACACGTCGTACGTGGAATCAACACGGTATTTTTGCGTAACATGCACAAAATTGTCAATATATTTGTGTACGATCGGTGCACCGGCTGAGCACCGATCGCGTCGTGCTCCAGTTCGTTGCCCATGGAAATGCCTGTCGCACGACCAACCACTGAACTACATGCGCTTGTTTCGGCGCACTTTAGCTTAGTCTGGGTGCGCGTCGTCAACGTGGTCATCTTCTCGGGCGTCGACGCGTACAGCGGTACGCATTTTTCACGTTCGCGTTTCTTTGGTGTTGGCTCTATGATGCTCAAAGTCAACGACCATCCCTGTGACGTCCACACCCTGGTACACAAAATGATGCTCTGATATCAATTCTGCCCGAACCTAAACCTATCGAGGTAGGCGGTTGTGTATTTGCGGCCTCGCCATTCTCATTGGTGTGCTCCTTGGGAACCATCAAGTGCTCAAGCACTTTAGCTTTTATTTGTCCCGCGCTGTACAGCGCCATCTTCCTCGTGCTTGAGCGCATCACGGTGCGTCGCATCCTCGTGTTTCTAGTCCACTTGGTCTGCTACCATCAGTCGGCCTCGCGCCTCGATGCCGATTTGGCGCTGCCGAGCGTCCACAGTACCGCACCGCCCTCGGATATCGCCAAGCACGGTAGCACGCTTCTTTGAGCGCGAAGGCAAGAGCGTGTCATGCCGCATCGCATGCGATTCGGTCCATCAAGGACCAACCGATTATCAAGTCCCAACCTTACAACAAGGCGATTTTATATATAGCAATGAGGTCACTGACACGCGTCTACCCGGACACGGCGGAGCAGTCGAAAGCCATAGTGGACACCTTGGCGCAAATGGACCCCAAATTGCGGTATGCTCTTCGTTATTTCTTTGTGTTGCACTCATACAACGCGTCGTGTAGCACCGACTTTTGGGCGGTTTACGGAAATTTGGACGCAGCGCTCGTGCAGTGGATCACCAAAGAGTACAACATCCTGCCCAACGTGATGTTCATCCAGCAGCCAACGGTCGTGGCGTCGCAGCAGTCGCGTCGTTACCATTAAAAAGCTTGGTACTACGATCGATCAAGCAGCCCAAGATCAGTGCGGCAGTGGGCGGCGTGGCGAGCTGGCGTGGCGCTCAACGGGGGACGTGTGTCACCTTGCCATCACCTCGCACGTTTTCAATGGTATGTACCCACATCACCGAGGTGATGCTACTGTGTGCAACGACGTAGCAATCGCACAGCGTTCTACTCTATAGGTACATGGCTTTCATGCCCCTTGCTCCAAGAACACGGGCACAGTCGCCATCGAATCTCGCCAGCGCTTGGACATTCCGGCCTCTTCTTTGCCATCGCGGCCTGGATACATCATTCGTCAGCAAACACTCGCTGTTTCGTTTCGGCTTCAACCGCGCCACCACCAACGACTTGTGGTGCGCCAGTACATGTTGTCTGACCAGCATGGTTCGTTTGTTCGAGGTGGCCAGCGCCCGTCCACATCTCGTTGTCGGATCGCCCACGATGTGGACTTCAATCCGACAACAGGTATCCAAAGTGTCTCTTTCTGTGCACAGTTTCCAGTAGTAGCAGCTGTACTGCTACCAAGTCGGTGCCTCAATGCGGCGTGCAGACGCTTTCGAGAAAGCGATGTGACCAAAATTGCACTTTGAACACCCAGCAGCATGATAGTGGGTGCGGATGACAAGCTTCCTCGTCGTGCTTTCAAGATTGCTGTTGCAACTCCAAAGCGTGTTCCTACTCGACTCTGATGTTATCGCTTTTCGCTTGACAAAGAGGTTGCTGTCCAGTCTAGCGCTCTTTAGTCGAGCGCCTGTCCATCGGGTCGATCTGATGGCAGCGGCAGCCGGTGCACGCAGACTGAAAAGGGCAAGAT